TCACTCATCTCGGCCTCCCAAAGGGCTGGGAATACAGGCTGAGCCACTGAGCCCAGCCGGTGAGATGCATGGTTCTTATTCACAGATGGGTTTCATGTGTCTTAGCTGTAAAGGCATATGACCAAGAAAAGTATGTTAAGCCTGTCTCCCCTCGAAACACCTAAGCCACCTGCTTTGTGCTGAATTTCCGTGGGTGGGGTGTGCTGGCTTCTACGGGTCAGGGGCCCTCCAGGTGACAGCTGGTCACTGAGCCTCGGACTTGTGTGACCGCCAGCACTACTATCCCCAGGAGACTCAATCTTTGGGGTGCATTCATGAAGAGGCCTTCTGCGCACTGTGCTGTGGGTGAAACCCAGAGGCACAAGCTGGGAAAGAACCTGATCCCTCAGCCAGTGGAGCAGGGCCAGCAGGAGGGCACAGAAGGACCTGGATGTGGGACAGAGGGGTGGGTCAGGGAGCCTCAATCCTGACGATGGCCCCCTGGAGAGATGGGAGCTGCCTTCCACCAGTGCCAGGCTTCAGGGCCGGGTACTGCCCAGGATGCCACATCAACTGTGTCATTTCAGAACTGGAATCACACTGACTTCCTGCCAGAGCCCCGAAGCAGACCCCACGCCGGGCCTGGGCTTTTGTGCTTCCCCGTTTTGATTGTGTGTTAGGGTAATTCTTTTTCTTTGAGAGAGAGATATTTAATTTACCTGTCTTTTCAATCACAGAAATTGATACATTAACAGGGTGTGGTGATAGTGGCGGCAGAGAAAGTAATTAAAAAGTCTAATTTTTCTTTCTGAAAGCAGTAGCCCCTAAATTGGATAGGTCTCCATGGACTGGAAGGCAGACAAAGTTGTAATAAACTCTTACTTAAAGTTCAATTGTGGATTTGTTGTGCTCAGATGTCAGGATGTTGGGAGGAACAGTTTCTTTTCCAAGAGTCAGCATCCTGGACTTTAGGGAGGTGGAGAGAGGGAGGCTTGTACCAGCTTCTCGGGTGGCTGGAACAAAGCCCCATGCCCCGAGTGGTTAAAGTACAGAACTTATCCCCCCACAGTGCTGGGGACTAAACACTGGAAATCACAGTATGGCAGGGCCCACCCTTGGAAGAACCTGCCCCCTGCTGTCCCCCTAGCTCCTGTGTCAACCGACCCCCTCTCCCATCCCTGGGGTCCTTGGCCTGGAGACAGAGTGCTCTGATCCCTGACTCGAAGGCCTCGTGATGTTTGTCCTATGTAGGTCAGTGTTTCTGATTTTTCTTCTCATTAGTATACCCCGGACTAAGGCCTGGTCTAATCCAGCACAGTAATTTTTATTTGATGACATCTACAGAGATCCCATTTCCAAATAAGGTCATAATAACAGGACTTCATCCTTTGGGAGACACAATTCAACTGATCACAGAGACCATAGTCCGGGGCAGGGAGGAGGGGATGAGAGAGAAGACGAGACCACCCAAAGTGCCCAGCGGCCTGCACCCATGATAGAGAGAGACAGGATTATCGGGAGGCATCAAGTCTTGGTCTCATAGCTGCCCGAGGGTTTAGATATCAGGTCCATCATCCATCAGGTCGTCCAGGAAGTGAGAATGCTTTCTAGAGAGGGAAGCTCATCTCTGAAATGACTTTGTGATGTGCTAGAAAAAGCACTCAACTTGGAGTTTGGCTTCCCTGTATTCTAACTGCCTACCTGCTCCATGCATTGACAGCACAACTCCTTTGACCCTCAGTTTGCATTTCTGTAAAAATGAAATATAAAATAATTCCATCTGGTGGAGTCTCATAACGCAAGTTAAATGAGAAAAACAGGCATGAAAGAGTCCTGCGAAGTATCGCGTGGTCTTTTTAAACAAATGGAAATCCTCTTTCTCCTCCTCGCATGGGGCAGAGCCCTTGGTCCTTCTGTTTAAAATATTGGTCTGCTTCTTTCCACACTCAGTGGGGAACGTGAGTCAAAGTTGGGAAAGAGCCATCTGTCCCTGCGGCTCTAAAACTCAAGGTGATCAAAACTCCTTTTTCAAGCCCCAGTGGCCGCCATCTCTCAGCATCTGGAGCTGCCTGACGGAACCAATTTTTATCCAGGGGAGGTAGTTAGAGCCTAATCCCCTAGCCAAGCCTATAAATAACTCTACAGGCATTAGAGCTGATGAGAAAAAGGAAAAAAGGGGGAGGGGTCTTTCTGTAGTGGTCCTTCTTGTTCACAGCCCTTGGGAGGAGTGTGCTGGCCGCTGTTTGCAGCCGATGAAATTAGTGGGCACTCGTCAGGCATTCAAGATCAAGCCAGAAAGGGCTGGAACCCAGTACCAAATGCCGCCAAAGAGAATATATTTTACACAACATAAAAGGCCCCAATGCAAATTAGAAGAAATATGGGGAGCCTTCAGGAAGGGAGGTCAACTTTTTCCTCAAGCAGATAATTACAGGCTGGGGGTGAGTAAATCTTTTCAGCCTCTCTCCACCGTCTCCTCTCATGAAACACTGGTGAGGGGATGGCTGGCCCAGAGGGGCCGGCCTCCGTTCATCGTGACACCCGTGATCGACTGGGGCCTCTCCCCTCCCTTCCTCCACCTGTTCCCCCCCCTCCCCTGGGACGCAGGTGACAACGTCGACCCAGCGTGGAGTTCCACTGCAGAGTTGCTGGGACTCAGTGACTTCTCCCTGTCTGAAGGACTGTCCCTTTAGGCAGCAATTTTCCAGTCAAATTTCTCTGCCCAAGTTGGAGGCCTTAAAATTAATGAAGTTGTTAACATTTCCTAAAATGTCTTTCACGGCAGTTGGAAGACCTGGATTTATCACCTGCCAGCCTGCTGGTCTCGTTGGTTCTCGGGCCTGTGGGCTCAGCCACCGCAGCCACCATGACGGGACCAGGCTCTTAGCCCGAACTCTGCCTTCACTTTGCTCTGGATGGGTCTGGACGGAGTCCCTAGAGTCCGTGCCCCAGGGCCACCCACAGGCCTCTCTTGGTGGCCGTGGCCTGGCTGCCTGCAGAATTCCTCCTCTGGCCTGGGAGCGGGAGAGGGAAGGGCCAGGTCCGGCTCGTCTCATCACCGGCATCACCCCAGTATCTGGTGCGGGCCAGGCACACAGAGAAGGTGGTGGGGGTGATGGGGTCTTCTTCAGTCTCAGATGAATTAAACACGGCAGGAAGAAGAAAGGCCTCTGAAACCACCACCGTGCCAGCCAAGGAGCCACCAGTCAAGGCCGGCTCCTCCTTCTATGAACTCACAGCAAAGATGATGCTGACTCAGACACCCTCTCAGCTCTTGGGCAACAACTGTCCTACGGCTTGCGTCCTGTCCTCCGCCAAGAAGGGAAATCAAGGGCTTCTACGCAGTGAGGAGAGTCTGAAAGTGACCTTGGAAACCATCCGGATGGACTCCTTTGCCCCAAGGCAGCACGCCATTCGCAATGAGGAGGAGAAGGAGACAGCGGCGGGGGCAGAGTGCACCAGACAGCAGCTCAGGAAAGCCCCACAGCTCTCTCCTGCCCACCTGCCCCCGGGAACAAACGTGCTGCCCCTGGGTGGATAGGAGGCAGATTTGCCTTGTTTGGACAATCTCTGTTTTATAAAAATCGTCCTCTTGTAGGCACACTGAAGGACGTTGGGAGCAAACTTAGCTCTTTTGCCAATCAGGCTGCAAAGCATGAACAGCACAGAGGACCAGGGTTCCGTCATGTAGACACTCACCCTTCTCAAAAGATGTTACTCGTCATCCCACATCAACGAAATCAGGAAGTCATTCCTATCAGGAATCTCCTGGCCACTGAGCTCTCCCTCCCATCAGGGACATTAGGATGGGCAGGAAACTCCCAGCACAGAAGGCCATCTAAACTGCCCGAGGGTCTTGGATGGATTTATTTTTTAACTTTGAAATGAGAGGTGTGGCTAATCTAGGGCATTGTGGGTGGGAGGCAGAGGCTGTGTGCTAGGGGCTTTTACTTGGTGAGTGGAAGTGTCTGAAAGGCGTATTTTAAATAGCTCAGGGCCAAGGCAGAGACTGAATGGCGGGAATAGGGAACTGTGTCCAGGAGGGAACGGAGAACTCAGCTTGGCGTCCAGTGCAGGAACACCTCACTGACCCAAGCCTGGCAAGAGCTTCGTCTCTGGGGCCATTTCACACCCAGTCATCAACCATGAGTCCAGGAGAGTCTCCCCTATGGTGGGATAAGGTGGGGGAGCATGGCTGAGCGCCTGCGCTCACAAGGTTTAACCGAGGGAGTCAAGAGACAAGAAAACATCCCCCTGGAAACGCATCGGCTCGCCTCCAAACCTCTTCCCGTCATGGGGCCCCAACTGCTGTGAGCTGTCAGAATGAGCACTGGGTTGAGAAGTCTCACACCACATAAAGGTGGCCTCAGCAGGGTTGCCAGGATGGCCTGCCAGGCCAAGGGGTGGCCTCAGGAGGAAGGCGGACAAAGGGAGGGATCCTGGCTGTGTGGCTGGGGAAGCCACTGTGTGCTCTGTTCAGGTTCTGATTCTACATCTGTGAAATGAGAATTGGGCCCATTCACCTGACCTGCAAGGCTGCCGCAGGGTCAGATGAACTGACATCACCCCCCAAGAACCTGTCTAGGAAACTTTAAGGGATGACCCCAGTGGAAGAAGTCCTAGAAGCCCCATGACCCTTGTGGTCACAGTCCCTCTGGAGAGATCACAGTTGCCAGCAGGACTGTGGGTTGGAGCCCTCTATCCAGGAAGCCAGGGACAAACTGCAGATAAGCATTGTGTCTATTGACGGCAGAGAATCTGGTGGGAAGACCATACCTCATGAAGGGTGAGAGAAGGGACATGAGACCACAAAGCCCTTGGCTGCCACTGGGATCAGAATGCAGCTGGACTGGCCCGGCTGGACGGGTCTGGTGGGTGGGTGTCACTGGGAGATGGGGAGGAGTCACAAAAGGCTTCTTTTGCATACAGGGGGCTATGTAAATCCCAAAGTGAAACTCACAGATTCCTTAATTATGAGACAGTGATGGCGCACCACAGGTAACTGTCAAAAATATACCTACCGTATCGGCTGCGATGGGACAGGAAGGGGAAAGAGTCTTTCATGATCCAGGTCAGATTCCAGGTAAAGTGATCAGGAGGAGGTGAAGGCGTGTCTGTGGGTGCCTCCGAGGGACTATGACCTGGACAGAAAAACAGAGAAAGAGAACACTGATCCGGGCGCTCAGGGTGTGTCTTTGAACACCACTCAACCACAGTCACAGAGGAAAGTGCACGGAGGAGCCTTCATGAAAACCACTGGGAAGAGGAGGAAATAGGATGGAGCCCCCAGGGGACCCAGGGGACCTTGGATCTTGATACACGTTTTCCACCAAGGGCTGCCAGAGCTAAGAAGTCTGAGTGTTGCCACCCAGGCCGTGCTGAGGATGCTGGGAGATGAGTCGACAGCCAGGTCATGGCTTGGTCTCCAGCTCTGCCCACAGTATGTTCTGCCTTGCAAGAACCCGCACCGTGTTGCGAGAACGCCGAATCATCCGGCCCGGATAATGCCTCCATTTCTACGGAAGTTCAGACCGGCAGCCCTGCCTCCTGTTGTCTGCCTGGGTTATCGCCTTGTCAGTGAGAGGTCTGGACCTGCGCTCAGGAATCAAGAGTTCTTAACAAGAGTGTTCTTTCCAAGGTGGGGGAAGCTAGGGATCATGTTTTCCCATAGCCAAGAGGCCGGAGCCTGGAAGATTAGTGTTTATGATTGACAGGAGGGAAAGAGACTTGAAAGAAAAACCAGGGACAGCGAGATTCCAAGCAGCCCCACCATGGGCTTCATGTGGGAAGAGTTGCTACAGTGTATCCACGAGTGGAATATGCTCAGATGTTGGAATGTTGGGAGGAATTGTTTCTTTTCCAGGAGTCAGTATCCTGGACTTTAGGGAGGTGGAGAGAGGGAGGCTTTGGAACCAGCTTCTTCAGTGCCCAGAACAAAGCCCCTCGCCCCGGGTAGCTAAAGTATAGAATTTATCCTCTCACAGGCTGCAGGCAGGTACACAGTGCTTCCTGAAAACCCCGCGCAGTCCCAACTGGCTGACACTTGATGGCGGGCAGAGCTTTTGAGTTAAAGGATGGATCTGAGAATAAGCGCTGTCTCGTGAATGGGTACATAGGACAGAAGCAGGCAGGAGAGGGGCAGGCACAAGACTGGACCCTTCCCCACAGCATGCCCCGTGGCAGTGACCGTGGCGTTCTAGATTGGAGTGACCATCTCCATTGACGACAGCTGAGACTCAGAGGGCAGGCAGTGGCACGGGGCACCGAGCCCTCCTTGCCTTGCGCTCACAGGCTGTGTTCGTCCGTGCGTGGGCTGACCTGCTCCCCAGGGTCACTGTCAATCCACTTGGAATGGCCTGCTGAAGAGGAAGAGGAGGAAGAGAGAGCAAGGAGGAAGCAAGGCAACGGGCGTGGGGAAGCACCTTCCCAGCCCGAGTGCCCTGCAGTGTCTCCAGCATCACGCCCTGGACTGGCTCCTGCCACCCCTGGTCTCCTGCTTTCAAACTCCTTTTAGGGCTAGCCTCACCTCATGCATTGGAAGGAAAACCCTGGCCTGGGCACCCACGGCAACCTTCTGCTTCCAGACCCCACCACTGTTTTACTGTGGGTGTTGCCCTTGGGTAACGATGACCCCAGGACCTTGTGTCCTGCAACGGGAACAGGGTGGACATGCTACAGTCTCCATGCTCAAAAAAATCCTCATTTCTGCTCCTCTAGTTCCCAGTTGGAAGTATTGGCTCCTGGGTGTCTAGAAAGAGTTTTTGATTTTCCTCCCACATCCAGTCTAACAGAGATCAGAACTGGACCAATGGGTGCTGGAGGACACACGTTTCTGCAACCCTTCTACCCAGTGGCTCAGAGGAGACACACCAAGGTTCCCGGAGCCTGCTGGGGGCTGCAGAGAGAAAAGTCTCCTTTCCCGGCACGTCACTTCTGTGTTATGGAGAGGAGAGGTGACCCCAGGACCACATAGACCTACTCTGGCAGGGTGAAGTGTATCATCAGACTTTTAAAAAATTAGTATGCATTGAGCACACATGGGCCAGGCACCGTGCCAAGTGCTTCAAATATGTGGTTCTACTGACTTCTTTCAATAGCTTGTAAATAAGTGGGATGATGCGTCCTCATTTTGCAGCTGGGGAAACCAAGGCATGAAGGGGTTGGTTATCTTGACTGCAGCCACTCGGCCAATGAGAGCAACCTGACACTAAAGCCCAAGCTGCACCCACCACCTCACTACCTGGTGCAGGGTGTCTGGGCTCCCCCACAGGGCCTAGCAGGGCCCCAAGAGCAATGGCTGAAGCTGGAGTTCACCACCGAGCACATCCACAACCAGGGAACAGCACGAGGGTCAGAAAGACCCTGACAGTCACCCCTGCAATGGCTCCCATCTGAACAAAAACTGGCATCTCCAGGTCTGAGTCACCTACTCAGCTCAAATTTTAAGTCATTTTGAAGTGACAGAAGACTGAGCTGAGGCCGTGTTTCCCCATTTCCAAGTGAGGTCATTTTTCTTAACCATTCAGTTTGGGAACGGTATCAGTGTCTTCCTGAAAGTGGGGGGCCAGGCAGGGGCTGGACCCCAGGAAGCACTTATGAGTCTACAAGTGGGCACAGAAGGGCAGATGACAATAAGAACGGGGGCCAGGTTACAGACTCAGGGATTAAAGACAACATCGGAAAGCACGTGGGAAGAAGGAGGCTGGTTGCTGAATCACGGCCCAGCAAGGCGCTGTGGAAACCACCGTGGGCCAACCCTAAGGACAGAAGCTGAATGCATGCTACGTCCCAAGTGCCAATATGTTGCTGGGCATCCTTGGGGTCTAAGGCAGGAAAGAAAGCAGAGCCTTTCACCCTGCCTGCACAGGAACTCCTAGAATTCCTGCCAGCAGACTGGGATCACAGGGGCCCCAACCCGACCTGGAAGAGGGTGGGCAGCATGATCAGCTGGGTGAGGCTGGAGGGGCGAAGGGGTCAGCCACAAGGATGGGCCTCCCCACAGAAAGACAGAGACCAAGAAAATACAACCCTCACGGACGAAGTTGTTTGCCAAGATCGGAAGTGCCGGGACAGAGCTAGGTGTGGTCGGAGTTTGTAGAACACACGTCAAATGAGAAAGTAAAGAAACAGGTAAACCTGCTTGTAACAAGTGCGGGTGAGAGTCTGGCTGTTCCTTCCTACCCTTTCCCCCCATCCTGAGTCCTGGGGGAAGGGAGTTCCCAGCAGGAGGCGAGACCACGCCCACAGATGCAATCCACCTGGGCAAGGGAACGCGCAGTAAGAGAAGCCTCATCATCTTGGGGCTCCACCTGGTAAATGTGAGGACCCAGGGCGCAGGTCTTTGGCCACACAGACCATGAACTAGAAGAGAACTCGCCAGCTCCATGAGTGACTCTGGGACCTTGGGACCAAAGCGTGGGGTGGAGAGGGGAGAAGCATAAGCTGGAACCTACAGGTGAGGCAGACCGGACCTCCCGAGAGAAAGGAGGCCGGAAATGCATCTGGGCTGAGGGCATCACTAACTGACTAGTAGTGAGATTTTTGTAGTGATTTCCTGAGCCCTTTCTAAATACTGCGGGGTATCGAGGCAAAGAGGCACCCCAGCTCCTGGCACCCGTCTCCATCACCATGCGTCACCCCTAGTGTCCACTGCTTCCATCCGAGAGTCTGTCGCTCTAGACACCCCTTGCAGACACCCCACTGGCTGAATGCGGAGCTGGGGGAGGAGGGCCGTGGACACTCAGCCATGCGGCTGGTCTCACTTGGATACAGGACTGGAAGCCCCGGTGGTTCAGGGTCCTGCTGCAGCCTGGACTGACTCAGTCCATGTGCCCTCCTTCCAGCACGCACTTCAGACTTCCAAAGTCTCGATGGCCCTCATTCCTCCATACTCCCAGCAAATGAGTTGGTTCCTTATTTTCCTGTGAAGAGAAGCCACCCAGCCATGCCCGGGTGTCAGAGCCTTTTCCCCGGCATGAAGGACACGCTGCCGCCCCCCAGAGCAGCGCCAGCCTCTCCGTGGAAGTGCCAGTCCTGTCCCTTCTCCAGGGATCTGCCGTGACAGTTGTCCCGGAGCTGCTGCATCCCTCTCCGCCAAGTCAACCATGCAGACGCGCCATCTTGAAAGAAGAGATGTCTTTGACCTCACCTGCCTCCTCAGCCATGGCCCCACTGCTCTGCTTTCCCGTGTGGCTGAATCTCTCACAGATTCTGCTCCCTTCTCCACCTTCTTCCTCCATCTTCCCTTAAATCCAGTAAAATAAAGACTGCTTCCACCATTCCAACTGAGGTCACCAGTAACCCCAGGCCGCAGGCGCAACGGACCAGACTCAGTCCTTGTCTCATGGGACTTCCACATGGCCTTTTCTTGTCTAAACTCCCTCCTGAGCAACATCACCCAGTGTCGTGTCTTTAATGTCACCCACACACCAATGCCCCTGAGTTTCCACCCCACTCATGCTCTCCCCCCGACAACAGAACACAACCCTACTGCCTGTTGGGAGTCCCCATGGGATCTCCTGGCAGGCATCACAGACGTCGTCCCCGAGACAGCCACACATGCATGGTCTTGCTCCCAAGCCTCAGACATGCCCATTTCAGAAGGTGATACCAACACTCACCCAGCGGTGTGGCCCCAAACCAAGGAGGAATCCTGGCCTCCTCCCTTACCTCACACCCCCCTTGGTCCCTCAACTCGACTTGACACCGCTCCCTGAATTTCCCCTTCTCCTCTTTCCCCTCACTGCTTACACCCCTGTGGCTGTAAGCTCCCAGTGGGTTCCCTCTGCCCAGCCATCAGGAACTCTGCAGCCCTGAGACAGTTTTCCCAGCTCTTGCCCTGGCCTGGCTCTCCATGGCCCCATGTGATCTGGCCCTGGATCTTCCACCAAGCTCATTTCCACCACCTTTTCCTTGTTCATGGAGCTCTGTCTTCTATTCCCCAAACTCGCCAAGCACGGGCCCACCCCAGGGCCTTTGCATGGGCAGTTCTCTCAACCTAGAAAGCTTCTCTCCCATAGGAGCTCTGTCTGGTGTCTGCCTAAATGCCACCTCCTCGGAAACAGCTTCACTTGTACGCATACACATTCTCCATACCCTTGCCCTGTGGTTTTGTGTGTGTGTGTGTGTGTGTGTGTGTGTGTGTGTGTGTGTGTGTGATGCGTATTGGTCGGTTTGTTGTGCACCTCCTACACTCGTCACTGCAGGCACACAGCAGACACTCAGAAGATATCTGTCTAATGAATGCCCCAGAGCTCTGAGGAAAGGCATGGGCTCTGACACCCAGCAGCTGTTAACCTCAGGCCCAACACACCCTCAGAACCTCACTGTCCCAAACATGAGGGTGAGAATAAGATCAGCGCCTGCTCCAAATCTCTCAGGTCCTCATCAGGGCCAGAAGAGACATGTGTGCATAAGGAGCTTTACGCACTGTCACGCCAGGTTTCAAGGTTCACACTTCTGCTTCGGAATCCAAGATGGATGGGCAACTGGGTCCCTTTCTGGTACCCGAGCAT